TTTAAAAAATGAGCTACAACAAAGACAAAAAGTGAATGTGTATAAACTCGTATGAATTTGGAAATACCTGTTTAAAACGTCTCACGCATACCATCTCCCTTGTGGGTTTTTTGGAGCAAGTTTTTTTTTTGCCTCATAAATTTCCTTTGTACGTTCCTGGCACCTGTAGAAGAAGGCTCGCTGTTGGTCTGTGGCCAATGTGGCTAGCACACCTCTGCGCCCTGCCAGGGCTGGCAGGTCAGCGGGGAGGAGCACCCCACCTGGTTGGGAGCTCAGCCATCCTCCAGCTTCAGGATGTCATAGAATCATAGAATGGTTTGGGTTGGAAGGGACCTTAAAGATCATTGAGTTCCACCCCCCCCTGCCATGGGCAGGGACACCTCCCACTAGAGCAGGTTGCTCAAATCCCCATCCAGCCTGGCCTTGAACACCTCCAGGGATGGGGCATCCACAACTTCTCTGGGCAACCTGTTCCAGTGTCTCACCACCCTCACAGGAAAGAGTTTCTTCCTAAAATCTAGTCTAAATCTCCCCTCTTCCAGTTTAAAAACACCCAGGCAGTAAGCTCCAAATGAAGGAGACTCACCTGACCTTTTCTGGCTGCTCCCCTCAGCTCAGACCTGTAGGATCCCAGCAGAATCCTTCCTTTTTGTTGAGATTGTTAGAAACGGAATTGATTGAATGGTGATCCCTGCCCCAAGAGCATTCTCTGGGCAGAGCTTGCCTGAGGAGCTGGCACTGACTAAGCCCTGCAAACCTGTGGCTTGGTGGAGCAGGCATTGGTAGCTGAGTTCACCTGGCTGGAAGATCAAGGACTTAATCATCTGTGTGAAAATCAGATCATGCTGTCCAATTAAGAGGCGGCCCTGTTCTTCCTCTGTTTCCCATCCCCCACCTTCAATATCTTCATGTCACCCTAGAGGATTTTGTCTCCACTGTCCCTCAACACCTAGAGAAATTTGTCGGAAGCACAAGCCACCCGTGCTATCTAAAATACAAGACTTCTGTGGAAATCCTTTCTCTCCAGTAGAGCATTTCGAGCAGTTTGCTGCAGTGACTCTGATGGTAGCCAGCAGCCTGGCAGAGGTAGCCATCAAGCTGTATTAGGTGTACCCCATTTACCACATTTCTTCTTGGCCAAACTGAGTTAACTTCTATTCTTTTTTTTTGTTTGTTTCTCATGGTGTTGATTTCTGTAGGTGATCTGGGCTGCTTGGAGGATTTCCCTTCAACCTAGCCAAGAAGAGAGTTTTCCCAAAGGAGGTGTAGAAACTCCATATAGAATTTTTGCTGGATCAGCAGTTGCAGAGCAAGTATTGCAGCAGCAAACAGAAGACATAAAGTCTTAGAAGCTGTCTCAGCCCTAGTGAGTAAGACTTTTTTTTTTTGTGCTGTATGGTTAAACTTCTAACTTGTTGAGAATTTCTTTCTCACAGCTAAGGATTTAATTTGATTTATGAAATAATGCTAAAGTCTCCCCCCTTTCAGTTCATATTATTGTGAGACGTTTTCATGTAGTTTGCAGTTCTGAATTTTCTTTTTCGCGTAAGCAAAATGTAAAAAATTATTCTCTCTCAGTGGAAATATCAACAGTTTGAAGGCATGGAGTAGAATCATGCAAGACAGCAATTTTATTTCATTTCATTCTTTCTTTTAGGCTTCTAAATTACTTTCTGGAATTGCCTTTTTGTTCTTATAACATGACAATGACTGTAACAAACAGAACAATAAACCCGTTACCAAACAGTGTAGCTATGGAGAAATCACAGGTCTTTGGAATTATGTCTTAAACACCCATTGAATACATTCCTGCCCTATGTGACCCATTTACAAGGGTTTTCTTCTTGGGTATTTAATCTTTAAATAAGGAACTTAAACATTTTCAATGCACTGTTACCTTCAATGTTTGTATTCCCGGATAGTGTTGCAAATTAAGGAAACACCACCGAGTCCCTTCAGCTGTGGAAGTGTTTCCATTTTTCATTTGACATTCCTAAGCTAATCACATTTAGTATTCCCATTTTAATGGTTTTGGACTTTGCCCTGTGCGGAGGGCTAGATTACCTCTCTTGAGTGTTTCAGCTCATTCTGATGGATTGTCTTGAGTTTAGCTTTTCAGGGGAGGGGAGGCAGAACGCCCAACCCTGAACTAAACAACATTGCTGTCACTGGAGCGAGTTCTCTCTCTTTGGCACCAGCTGCAGGAGCGGCAGAGACCCGGCTGCTCTGCAGGGGATGGGGAGACGGGAGCCAGGGTGGGCAGGGACCCTGCCCTCGCCGGTGGGTCTGTGGTGGACGAGGAGGTCTGAGGTGAGGGTCAGAGGATGGTGCCTCAACCACTTCCCTGGGCAGCCCATTCCAATGCTTAGTAACCCTTTCAGCATAAAAATTTTTCCTAATATCCAATCTGAACCTCCCCTGGCACAACTTGCGGCCATTTCTCTCATCCTGTCGCCTGTGACCTGGGAGAAGAGACCGGCTCCACCTGGCTACACCCTCCTTTCAGGTAGTTGTAGAGAGCAATAAGGTCTCCCCTCAGCCTCCATTTCTCCAGCCTAAACAACCCCAGCTCCCTCAGCCGCTCCTCATAAGACTTACTAAATGAAAAGGAGCAGCAGAATTTGTTTAAAAACTGCATGAGAAGTTGTCAGAATGATGTTTTGGAGTTGAATAAGCGTCTCTTCAAGAGTGCAGTGGGCACGAAGGCAGGTTTTTTACTGCATATTTATGTTCCACCTCAGTTTTCTCTAACACAATAGTTTGTGACAGACTGGAGCCCCATTCCAGTTTGACAGAGGGATTTCCATATTGCAGAAAGTGGATGACCTCAGGACTCAATAAGAAACAGGGCAACAGGCATTCAGTGAAGCTACCAAGCTGGTGAATTTACTTTTTTTTTCTTTATTAAATTTAGGGCGTTATGTTTTAAAAGCGAGAAAACAGATGGCACCAAAGTCAGCTGCGGTGTAACCAGACACAATTCCCGTTGGGCGGGGATGTGGTATCTGCTTTCAGCAAAGCCGAATTTGCAAAACAAGGTTACTGTTGCTGCAATAAAGCTCTCACGCCGGGCTGAGCTTGCACAAAGACAGACATTTATTGGGTGTCATCGGGAGAAGCGTAGAAGGACGTGTGAGCGTGGAGCAGGCCGCGGCTCCTCCCTCCCTCCCGGCCACCCCAGCGAGGGGAGCAGGCTCAGGCCCCACTGCATCCCCATGTGGGACAGCTTGGCGCAGGGACCTGGAATTGCATTCTTCTTCTTTGGCCACCCTTATTTTGCAGTGTTACCATGAGGTACACGCTGGCTGCCAGAAGGCAGTGCCCCCCGAGCCCTGGCGGGGTGAGGGGTGCAGTCTTCTCTACAGATGGGGCTGCACAAGCCCCCATCCCAAACCCGATCCCTGCTCCCACAGGCACTGCCCGAGTTGGCCATCAGCACAGAGAGGGGAAGCTCAGCAGTGGCATTTCTCTGCTGGCAGGAGTCATTTCTCATCTCCTTGGGGTCACATTTCTAGGGGAGAGCCTGCAGGAGCACTCCTTCACACTTGGGGGTCCTGGTGCTTCTGGTGTTCCTGGTGCTCCTGGTGTTCCTGGAGCTGCCTTGCTGCTCCCATCCCTCCTGAGCTTGTCATGGCAGGTGTTGCCTGACTGCAGAAATGCAGTCAGGTCCTGGTGGTGGAGGCCAGTGCCTTCTGCTGGCCCCTTCAGATGTCAGGAGGAATGATGCCAGTACCTGCTGAACGACAGAGGTTGCCCCAAGAGTTCCTCGAGTAGTGCAGCCAAGCCGTTGGGCAGCGGGGGCTCCTCGGGATGTGGCTGCAGTGCAGGTGCTGACCATCTCCAAATCCAAATACCCTGAATATTCCTTCTGCATGAATGCAGAATTCAATTTTTCACAGAAAGAGTGGTCGGGCATTGGAATAGGCTGCCCAGGGAGGTGGTTGAGTCACCATCCCTGGACGTGTTTAAGGGCCGTTTAGATGCGGTACTGAGGGATATGGTGTAGGGGAGGACTTTGTAGAGTAGGGTAGATGGTTGGACTCGATGATCCCAAGGGTCTCTTCCAACCTCTATGATTCTATGATTCTATTCTATGATTCTGCCCTCCTGCATTCACGAGGCAGCAAAAATAAATGAAGAAACAGGAGGGCTGCAGGACTCCCGGTCAGCGAGGAGCACGGCAACTTGACCTGAAGGACAGGGGTGTTTAAATTAACCCTGACGGTTTTTACTGAGTTGAGGTTTGACGTCCAGTCTCTGGTAACTAAAAGAGATGGGAAATAAGAAGTCCTAAATGAGAAATGACTGCGAAATAAACCGTGCTTAGTTAATTACTAAGCACCATGCTATCAAGAAGTGCTTACTCATAACCCAGGCTCTCGGCTGAAGGTTGGGGAGCAGCCTGAAAGCCACTGTCGCCTCCAAGGGATCGGAGCTGGAGTTGGTGAGCATGAGTGAAATTCCTGCTTTTCTGGGTCTGCTGGTCCCTCCCACCGGTGAGACCCCTCTGCCAGCCTCCCCTGGGCATCCAAACCCGTGGGACATCCTTGCATTTGGGCAGAGCCTCATCTGGTGAAGCTCTCAGCCCTGGCTGGCTCTACTGCCAGAGAAACTTCCCAGCAAGTGTCCTTCTCCTTGGACCTCCTTCTCAAGGGGACCTTGGACCAAGCTGGGTCCCCTCTTTGACTGAGGGGGAAGCCTGCTCCGTGCTAACGCCCCCTGACTCCGCCAGGACACCAAGGCAAAATCCTTCCTCTGCAGTCAGGAGAAATTTGGCAAACGAGATGAACTTTAGATGGAGCTAAACCCAAATATTCTCTAGCAGCAGATTTACTCAAGCTAGAAGTCATTTTAGTTGGCAGCTCACTTAATGCAGCTTGATACTGAAATTCTTCCCAACCGTATTTCTGTCTACTTCTGAAGAATACCACGTGGCACAGCATCTTCATTTTTTTTCTAGAGTAGCAGATGAAAAAATTGCAGAAGATCACGTCTCAAAATCATAGTCAAAATCTTTTTGCTTTTATTCTATTTAATGCTTAGTATCTGGAAAATACAATAAATAATTTTTCAGTCAAGAACAATCAGATGTTATGCTCAATAACAAAATGTTCAAAGAGGATGTAAAAATAAATTAATATCTTACTATTTAACTTCAATGACAAAGCAGGTCTCGGTTTCAGACAACTGAGAAATTTACAGCTGTGAAAGATAAATGAACATGTTCTGTCTTTCCGTAAACATGCGGCTATCATTATACATATATATACACTTATATGTATATGTGTGTGCCGGCAGCAGAAGGCAGAATTGGGCCTAGATCTTACAAAATGGTAGTTTACAATTGACATTCACGTGTGTTTATTTTTTTAACAAATAGAACTGCAGAACATTCATGAATCATACAGTTTTCCAAATCCTGCAACTGCAACTCATATGAAACGTTAGCTTATAAAAATTCATCACTGTACAACCACTTTTTTTTTTTTTTAAAGTCAGTGTCAAAAACATAAAAAACAGCTAATTTATTAAAACGGATATATTGTTTAAGTGCTGAGGTTTGTGTTAGCTTTTTTTCTGTTGTAAGCACAAGAATCTATTACAACTAAAAAGGCAAAAGTGGCTCAGAAAACATCAAACTCTCCAACAATGTACTCGTAGCTTCACTAACACTTAATCTGACGCTATAGGGAACTGAAAAACAATGTAAACACAATGAGGTACAGAGACCCACGCACCTTCCCTCACAGCTCTGCAAACTCTGGGCCTCATCCTGCAAACGCTCCTGGCTCCAGAGCTTCCTCCCTCCCAAGGACGGTCCCACCCAGCCCCACTGCAGCCCCCCCAGCCACCCCCACAGCAGCAGAAGGGGTCCTGGGACCAAACACATCGAAAGTGCCTCAGGGTTCAACTATGTTTTGTTGCTTGAGACTTGAAAAGGTGAAATAGCTTCCAAAAAGTCTTATAGAAATACTCCTTTAAAGCTCTTAGAGGTTTTCTATTTCAAGGTAAATCTAATAAAACATTGAACTGCTTTTAAATTAGGCAAAGAGCGTTTGCTCTGCTTTTTGTAAAAAAGCAACGATTTTCCTTCGCTGTAAGATACTTTACACGTCTTCAGTCCCTCTTCCCTTTATTTTACAGAAAGTAGAGAGGCAGAACCATTACGATTTTAGTGGTGCAATCACCTGTGGAGTTCGGAAACAGCCCTATGGATTTTTTATGATGACACTGAATCTTAACTTCATCCATTTTTGCAAGTCTTTCCCCCACACCCCCACACCCCCAGTTTGTTTTATTCTGCTTCTTCGCTCTTCTCAGAACCACCTCCGGCTGAATGATCTGCCTCATACTTTTTATCAAGAGCATCTTCAAAGGCTTTGGCGCTGCAGTCGTAGGTTTTACTTGTAGATGCCGTATGTGTCCGAATGCGAGCTCCTGGCTGGTACAGCTGCATGGCCGGGCGGTCCTAGGAGGAAGGAGAGTAACAGTTAATGCCCCAAAAAACCCGCCTGGGATACACATGTGGGATTGTAAAGCGATGGATGTTCGTGAAAAAAGTAGATTTTGTGTTAAATCACTTTACATTTCAGAAGAGCCAGGAAAAAAAAATGGAGTGTGATGAAAATTGACTGCGTACTTAGGATCTGTCTTGTTTATAACACTATTCTTGGGAGCCAAGCACTTTGAATAAATTAAGAAAGTTGTAAAAATTGAAGATCCTATGACATATTTGACATAAACAAGGAGAAATACTGCAGACAATCATCAATATTACAATATTACAGGTAAAACTCTGAAAAATGTTGCTACCTTCACTAGCATCAACTGTGAAGAACAACAGCCTGCACACTTGCAACTCTGCAGGTGAATGACAAATATTAAATATAAGCATAAAAAATAAGACAAACCAGAGAACAGTTTAGCAGGCAAGAGCTATAAAATTATCCTCAGCTGAACTTTACCAATGTATAAGTGTTCAGTGTTCTTCAAATCATCAATCATTACCACAATTTAAACAGGAAATGCAGGTTTGAATTATAAATATCAAAATAAAATTGCACAGTTATTGCTCCTCTTCATCGTGCCTTCCCTAATAAGTCTGAGAGTGGGGAATTCACCCACTGATAATAAACAAGGTAAATAGGATGTGAGCACACGCAGGCTTTGTGAATGACCCAATCATGCACACAATGATTTGGTCACTGGAAAACAGGAGGAGGAGCCAGTTTATAAGGAAAAGACACCTCCAACGTGCAAATGGTGACGTCCCATAGCTCCTGAGAGCAGCTTTTATTCTTGACATTTCAATAATGAAACATACCATTCAGAAACTCTGCTTCAGAAGTCTTTTCCCAGCAATATTGCTCCTCTTCACTGTGCTTTCCCTACTGAGTCTGAGAGCGGGGAATTCACCCACTGATAATAAACAAGGTAAATAGGATGTGAGCACACGCAGGCTTTGTGAGTGACCCAATCACGCACACAATGATTTGGTCACTGGAAAACAGGAGGAGGAGCCAGTTTATAAGGAAAAGACACCTCCAACGTGCAAATGGTGACGTCCCATAGCTCCTGAGAGCAGCTTTTATTCTTGACATTTCAATAATAAAACATACTTTTCAGAAACTCTGCTTCAGAAGTCTTTTCCCAGTAAGAGTATTTTACTCCCACATACACCAGTTTTCAATGTTATGAAAAAGCAAAACCTGAGCTTTTTGACCAAAGTTAAGCTTAACAAAATGGAACAGCCTATTTTAAGACAGTGGCAGAGCACTGAAATTGTCCCACATCAAACCATATTAATTTGAAGTCATTCTGGTCTTCTGTTCTTTCATTATTTTTTTCTTATTTCCAATATGTATTTTCCCTTTTCCTTTCTTTTTCCTTCACCTTTGTTTTTGTTGCTCCACTTTTTTCTCCATCTCTTTAGCCCAGATATCAAGATTCACTACCGGGCCATACATCTAGATCATCCTAGTTAGTGCTTTGTAGAATGGTATGAAATGCATAACGTACATCTTTCTACATCACAAACAGCTGCATAAAACTAGATCCTCTGACAAGTAGTGCCCATTGGAAAGTTAATGATAAAGGGTCCAATCGATTTTTCCTATCACAGACTCTTTACCTCGCAGTTTGTATGAAAGCTAGCACAACTGTTACTCAGGCTGGAAATTTCCCATTTTCTAATTAATTCCTACAAACTTCAAAAAGCAGCTCAATCTCTGCCTAAAAACTTGGCATTGGCATTGTTAATTCTATAGTTAAGTTGGAAAACTCAGCCCCTAACTCTTATCTATGTGATAAATACTCTAAGGAAAAAAAAAGTCATCAGACTGGAAAAAACTTTCCTGATATGGCTTGTTCTGTTTAGGGAACAAATCTAGCACTTGAAGCGTGGACTAATCCAGAGACTCAGTGAGCTACCAGAAATGCAATGAGTAGAAATAAAAGGGAGACAGGATCAGAAGGGAGAGAGTTCAAGGAGGGTAACAAGGAGAGCCACCTCCTCAAAAGACTCGGGCACATCCATGAAATCAGCCAGCCCGAGAAAAATGATGCCCATGTCTCTGGGAGACAATAAGGGACAGCTCGACTACACACCCTGCTACAGGCCCCGCGTCCACTGGCTTTGCACCTGCTCTTTCCTTGACAAAGACCCTGAAGACAATTTGTCCTGACCAAATGACAGCCTTTTCGTACTGGCAGGTGGACAATACTGAAGAATTTGCACATTCACACCCTCTGAATACAATGCTCTCTATCTAAGTCCTTACAGTTCCTCTACTGAGCAATGCTTGGCCAATCCATAATATCATTACTTTATAAGCTGGGTAATGGAAGTACATTTTTTAAAGACTAGCATGCCACAGTTTTTAAATTTCATGACAGACCAGAAGTATAACAATTTTTAATATACTCATAAAATACAAGGCTTCCAAGAATAGCGTTCTAAAAATGCTAGGGTTGAAAGGAAGACAGAAAGTCTTCTATATATTGTAAATATGAAAGAGCAGAGACCTGCAACCTTAACTCATTTTAACTGCTGTTGTCCTCTGGTAACAACAGGAAGAAGTCTGAGTTTTACTGAAAACGAAATAAAGAATTGCTTTTTTTTTTTTTTGAAAATGCATCTTTATGCTGAGTTTGCAAAAGTAAAACCTGTGATCTCGAAGCGTATTTAACTAATGAAAGATTATCCTAAATGAATAAAAGAACCTTATTTCTTATGCGCTCCTTTTTGGATGCCATGTCATCACACTTGTCCTCTTTACCCAGTTTGTCTACTGCCTCCACAGTGAAGCTGTAGTTGTAGTTCCCTTTCTTTCCTCTGTCTGGGTTGTATCCTTTCCCCCATTTCAGCTCTTCTTCATTCCTTCTCACAAACTTGTCAAACTCATAGTGAGCTCTATGCTTTCTGCCATCATCCAATCGATACCTTTGTCTTTCAGGTTCTTTTTCTCGAAATCTTCTCTCCAAATCTCTTTGCTCTTTGTCACTATCATTTTGTGACCTAAGAGTACGTATAAAAAGAAAGAAAATCCAAGCAATTAACAGTAATTAAAAGCTGCTGAAGGATACAAATGCAAAGCCTTCCTTTGAATTCAACAGTGTTTAGATCAATTGTATGGCAAGGCTGTTTTCCTTCTCATTAAAATGGGGTTATGTGCAAACTTGCTCTATGTCTCATCCATGTATATCCGGCCCTTGACTAAGCATCAGCTCAAAACAGCAGAGAAAGCTTTACAAGCAAAATTGGACTGACTCAAGAGTATTTTACTCCCACATAAACCAGTTTTCAATGTTACGAAGCAGCAAAACCTGAGCTTTTTGACCAAAGTTAAGCTTAACAAAATGGAACAGCCTATTTTAAGACAGTGGCAGAGCACTGAAATTGTCCCACATCAAACCATATTAATTTGAAGTCATTCCGGTCTTTTGTTCTTTCATTCTTTTTTTCTTATTTCCAATATGTATTTTCCCTTTTTTCTTTCTTTTTCCTTCACCTTTGTTTTTGTCGCTCCACTTTTTTCTCCATCTCTTTAGCCCAGATATCAAGATTCACTACCGGGCCATACATCTAGATCATCCTAGTTAGTGCTTTGTAGAATGGTATGGAATGCATAACGTACATCTTTCTACATCACAAACAGCTGCATAAAACTAGATCCTCTGACAAGTAGTGCCCATTGGAAAGTTTATGATAAAGGGTCCAATCGATTTTTCCTATCACAGACTCTTTACCTCACAGTTTGTATGAAAGCTAACTCAACTGTTACTCAGGCTGGAAATTTCCCATTTTCTAATTAATTCCTACAAACTTCAAAAAGCAGCTCAATCTCTGCCTAAAAACTTGGCATTGGCATTGTTAATTCTATAGTTAAGTTGGAAAACTCAGCCCCTAACTCTTATCTATGTGATAAATACTCTAAGGAAAAAAAAAGTCATCAGACTGGAAAAAACTTTCCTGATATGGCTTGTTCTGTTTAGGGAACAAATCTAGCACTTGAAGCGTGGACTAATCCAGAGACTCAGTGAGCTACCAGAAATGCAATGAGTAGAAATAAAAGGGAGACAGGATCAGAAGGGAGAGAGTTCAAGGAGGGTAACAAGGAGAGCCACCTCCTCAAAAGACTCGGGCACATCCATGAAATCAGCCAGCCCGAGAAAAATGATGCCCATGTCTCTGGGAGACAATAAGGGACAGCTCGACTACACACCCTGCTACAGGCCCCGCGTCCACTGGCTTTGCACCTGCTCTTTCCTTGACAAAGACCCTGAAGACAATTTGTCCTGACCAAATGACAGCCTTTTCGTACTGGCAGGTGGACAATACTGAAGAATTTGCACATTCACACCCTCTGAATACAATGCTCTCTATCTAAGTCCTTACAGTTCCTCTACTGAGCAATGCTTGGCCAATCCATAATATCATTACTTTATAAGCTGGGTAATGGAAGTACATTTTTTAAAGACTAGCATGCCACAGTTTTTAAATTTCATGACAGACCAGAAGTATAACAATTTTTAATATACTCATAAAATACAAGGCTTCCAAGAATAGCGTTCTAAAAATGCTAGGGTTGAAAGGAAGACAGAAAGTCTTCTATATATTGTAAATATGAAAGAGCAGAGACCTGCAACCTTAACTCATTTTAACTGCTGTTGTCCTCTGGTAACAACAGGAAGAAGTCTGAGTTTTACTGAAAACGAAATAAAGAATTGCTTTTTTTTTTTTTTGAAAATGCATCTTTATGCTGAGTTTGCAAAAGTAAAACCTGTGATCTCGAAGCGTATTTAACTAATGAAAGATTATCCTAAATGAATAAAAGAACCTTATTTCTTATGCGCTCCTTTTTGGATGCCATGTCATCACACTTGTCCTCTTTACCCAGTTTGTCTACTGCCTCCACAGTGAAGCTGTAGTTGTAGTTCCCTTTCTTTCCTCTGTCTGGGTTGTATCCT